GAGATATGGGATATGGGATATGGGATATGGGATACGGGATATGGGATATGGGATATCGGATATGGGATATGAGATTTCGGATATGGGATATGGGATACGGGATATCGGATATGGGATATGAGATATGAGATATCGGATATGGGATATGAGATATCGGATATGGGATATGGGATATGAGATATGGGATATGCGATATGGGATATCGGATATGGGATATGGGATATGGGATATGAGAGATGGGAAATGAGATATGAGATATGGGGAGTCTGATTCGTTCTTCATTGGGAGTCTGATTCGTTATAGGAAATATTTTTCTAATGAAATTTTAATTTCTAAAAGCGCCCTGTCGTTGGGTTCGCTCGCGGTGGTTTTCGGAAGTCGAACAAAATCTGCTTACGAAACTTGCAATTCCCGCAAACGTCTGCAGTCGGTGTTACGTCGAGTTGCTAACAGAAGTTACGGTGGATGAATTCAGCGCAGAAAAACGGGCAAGAGGCCGACCACGAGAAAAATTGTGGCACAATCTGCGAAGAAGAAGCAAGTCGAAGGGGGTAATGGCCCTAAACCATGGCCGGCTGATCAAACTCGCGTAATTTGCCGTCGATTCCGTCAATAATCACACGTTGCGGGTTCCGTTAGCGTTTCAGCAGATCAAAGGCCACCGGCAACCGTTCGCCGATCAGGAAATCCATCCGAACCGGTTGGCCCCGGGAATCCAGCGACTCCGCCGCCAGAAATTCGTAGACAAATTCCCGGTTTGATCGTCGAACGTCCTCGGCGATCGGTTGTCTCCCGGTGTTCGCAGACCCGTTCGCGCACCTGCTACCCGGGTGCGAAGGAACGGGCGAAGCGGCGAGCATCGTGCGAGCAAATTGCGGATCGGTAGCAGCGAAGATTACACGCCGGCGTGCCGGCGACTCGCGAAACGCTTCCTCGCCGTACCCGAAACGTGTTATCGTCGCTGACATTTACACCTTTGTAACGCTACCTGCGCGGTTACCAGCGACTCCGCGCAGGATTTATCGACGGCGGCCGGTTCGCCGATAAAATAGATTGACCGTACCGTTACCTTCGTTTTTCTTTCGCCGAGATAATGAACGATCGGCACCCGAACCTTTCGCTTCGCCCCAGAGCGAATAGCTTTCCCGATGCGACCACCGATAGCCTCGACGGTCTCCGCTTGATTAGGCGAACTCTCCCATCAGTGGCGACCGTCGACTATACCTCGGGCAGTCCGATCAATTCCCGGACGAACTACTGCACGCCGAGCTTAGACAGGCTGTTAGACTGTTAGACGAACGGCGTGTTAGCGTCGACGTGTTCTAGGGGCCTAGAGACGGATGGCTGGGATGTCCTGCCTTTGCAGGATTTATGACAGGGACTGCGATGCACGGGGTCGTCAGCCGGTGATTGGTGACCACTTTGGGCCTCTAGCTGTCGATCCGCTAGCACCGAATCACGTGGGGATTCGCTAGGAAGATTCGTGACGTTCTAATCAACGGAGATAGCGCAACGCGAATCCGGCGATATTTTATTCGGAGAAATAATTCCTTCTCTTAATCGTCCAACGATATTTCTTTCTATTTCTTCTTTGTAAAAGATTCGAGGCGATTCATTGGAACCTCCGATCTCGTAAAGGATTTCTAACTGAACAGCTTAACCGATTGGTCTACGATCGATTTCACTGTTGCAGCAATTACAATCCGTTTGTCGTTAATACACCGTTGGAAATATTTATCGCGTGTCCGTATTAGTACCGACGATCAACCATTGGCAACAGACGACTGGACGAATAACGTTTAACGCGTCGATTGCCACAGGAATATCCATAAAAATCGCGCTTATTACATATTGTAACAATATAGAGAGGACAAGTATTAATATATATATAGAAATTATATCTATGATGCTCTTGAATCTTGTAGATGCGAAACAATTATGATTTATTTAATACATTGTACTAAAAATTGTGTACCAAGTACGCTAAACAAATTTTGTCACCCATATATGACCGACGTCGCAGTCGAAGCGTTAATTGTAAATAACATAGAAAAATTTAGCTCGGTGATAAATATAAATATTAAATATTAAATATAAATAGTATAAATATTAAATATAAATAGTATAGATATTAAATATAAATAGTATAAATATTAAATATAAATAGTATAGATATTAAATATAAATAGTATAAATATTAAATATAAATAGTATAGATATTAAATATAAATAGTATAAATATTAAAGACGCCAAAAAGCACGAATAATTCAATTGGAACAAATGTTTGATAATTCGAATGATAATGAATTTTTAATAGAAGTTTAAAGTAGAAGTTCCTGCTCGCTTATTCCAGCAACAAACAAACGTTTAAACCAGATCGACGAATGGCGTGAGCAACAAGTGACCCCACGTGGCAGACAATGCGAACCTTTTTATTGGGAGAGAGTATTTCTTAGTAGAGAGCCCTGGCTACGAGAAGACTATGGCGCTGAGCGATAGAGGATCGTGTCATTTGTTGTACGCATCTAACAAGCGCCAGAACGATTGATGGCCGAGTGGACGGGTGATCAAGGGACTATCGAGCGATGGGCGGCGCTAATGCAGGCGATTTGTTCCAGGAGGCCGGTGAGGAAGAGGAGCATCATCTCGGGGAACGGGAAGAGCAGCTCGCGGCCTATCTGCATCGGCACGTACAAGCGATACCACACGTGCAACACGCAGGTAAATCAACGGCGACATGCGCCGCGGCTTGATGTTTACGCGTATGTATCCTGTCCGCGTGATAGATTAACGTTTGTACTTCGTTAGCGCCGGGCCGGACTTTGTTCGAATCGTCGCGGAGCATAATTAGCGGGAACGCATTCGCGGGACGCGGCTGTCGCTTGAATATTCAAGGACCGGCGAATCCCGGCGCGACTGTCACGTGATCCACCTGTGAATCTCCGATCAGCGTGCGAAACTAACGGCGGCGGAGAGTCAATCCCGGCAATTATTGTCTCGTTTGACACGTTGAGTGCCGCGCGTCGGTCAAACATACGCGACGCGATTCGTTTTTACGATAATACACCTACCGACGAAAGTTGAGAAGCGTGTTACGCAGACGCGCGTTCTTGGGTGCAGCGAGCAACCGTTCGACGCGGGATAAAAATTTGTATCGCGTCAACGAAATTTAATTAATTTGATCAATTTATAATTTAATCGATCCGATTAATTTCATGTTTTTATAGTTTCTGAAATTTAGTTTTGTCTTTGTTTTGTATTCTTCTTATTTATTTTTCATTCTTGTCGTCGATCTTTCATTATTCGTCGTACGCACTAAATAAAACAATATCGCAATATAAACAGTCGTTGCAGTAAATTTCTTTCAGAAATGTTCGGAGGCTTTTTATTTCTAATTTTTCGTCACGTTTCGAGGACAATTCGGGGATCACGTGCTACAATTCGAAGACAATTCGGAGATCACGTGACACGATTCGAAGGCAATTCCGGGGCCACATTCGTACTCGGATTGCGCACAAAAATGGACAATTTGGGAAGAGGAGATACGATTATTCGAGCCTCGTGGCTCCTTTTTTACAATTCCTGATATAATTCTCGAACGATCGTATCTCCTCTTCCCGAATTGTCTATTTTTGTGCGCAAACTGAGCGCAAATTAGGGAGAAATTACTATACCTTGTAGCTCCGCGGTTTTTATCACCTGACTCGCGTCGCGTGCCGCATCACGCGCTCGACCGTCTCCGCCGATCCTTAGCATCGGCGTAGCAATAAATTACATAGGCGTCGAACTAGCACCGAGAAATTCACAGCAACCCGAAACTTGTCATTTACGGGAGAAACTACTGTATCGACGACCGACACTCGACGCGTTCAACGTATTTACCGAAAGTTCTCTCGAGATTCGAACGCGCAAATCTGACGCAGAGCAGCGCCAGCCTTAGAAATTATTCTGTTGTTTAAATGCTGGCAATGTTTCGTTCAGTGTCTCTTTGGAAACAGCTGTTGGTTTCGACTGGCAACTTCATTAGATGGTTAATTGCTCTAGTAGAAGGGAACAACGGAGGATCCGTTGCTCTTTCCCGCAATTTCTGCGGAGAACACGGTGTACAAGCGGCTCTCCGTTTCACCTGTCCGTGACTAATCCCCGACCCGGAAATTACTGGGCTAACGATTCCCCGCGTACGCGTTGATATCTCTGCATCCCGCTCGCCTAAGTCCGAATCGCCGGGGGAACGAATACAGTTTCGGCTCCCCTCTGTGCATCGCGAGTGCTAAAGTACCGCAAAATCCGGCGGAATCTTGGGGGGAAAAATGGATCCCGAAATCGAGCCGGCGAACGTCCGAGCAGCGAAGTTGCCCGCGTAACAGCTTTCCCGGCGATCTCGCCCGTAATTACCAGGAGTTTAATTAAGCCATTACTTGCGACAGAAATGCCCGAACTTCCCGGAGGATTTGCGGGCCGAACAATGTGCCAAGTACAACGGAAGAAACTACAAGGGCGAGAGCTACGATTGGGTTCCGTTCCTGGACGGTGAGTTAAAGCCACTCGAGTTCCTTGTGTTCGCAGTTTCGTCGACAGTCTGACGTTTAAGCGTGACGTTGTAATTACCCCGGCGCGCCTCGAAAACGCTCCGCTACCGAGGTTCCTTGCAATTATGCCGGCCGAGTTCGTTCCCGCGGAGTGACCGAGCGTCTTCAGCGGTGTTCCAGCGGCTTTTATGGCTTTGGAACGTCGATTTCCTACGGTACAGATTTCTCTCCGTATAGTCGCGTCCGTGAAAGAACGCGGGAAGATGCGAGAAAACACGTTCGAAAGTAGCGGAGGCGATTTTGATTCAATGATCCAGTGCAACAGATGCGATGATCTCCTAGGATTCAGGTTTCCCTCCGTAATGTCGCGCGTACGGGACGACTCGAGGAGACGCTTGAGAGCAGTGGTGGTGATTTTAAATTAGCGATGTATGTACATCGCGATCGACTTGTCGCGTAGTGCCGGAGATGAGAACGCGACACTACGGAGGAAAACTGTATCATTGCGAATCGAAGGCGTTGATCCCGGAGCCAGGACGATGACCCATGCCGGGCTGAAAACCCGTTTATCGTTGCCAAAATTGAATTCTTGATGTTGCAAATTTTAACCAAATTTTTGCGCGCATCGATCGATAAACTCTTCCAGCTGAACACAAAATTCGGAATTTCAAAGTGAAATCAATTGTTCCTAGAATTTATTATAGATCGTGAACTAACAGGTTTGAACGATTTTTTTTATGTTAATAGTTAATTTAGTTAACTATAATTTTTATAGTTAAATATATAAATTTTTAACTATAATTTAGTTAACTAGTTTAGTTAGTAAATAGTTAATTTTTTATGTTAATAATACTTTCTTTATTCGATTAGCTCCTGAAAATTATTTAATTCGTGTACACAAATGCCACAATATTTATAACAATTGAAATTATATATTTAGGCCGTACTTTTTCATTTTTTATTACTGGTACATATATTTGGGTTTTTGTTGGGTTAGAATAATGAATACAAAATGCAGTGTTTTAATTGTATATAAACCAATTCTTTAAAAATACAATTTTTGCTTTCAACTCGATTCAATTAAATTGAACATCCAACTAAATTATCAATTAGATCGAAACCATCAATTAAATTGAAACCAACGTTCGATTGTTCCTTCGTGAAATGGTTTCGCTTCGTGGCACGTGCCATTTTGGCATCGCTATTACATGATTTATAGCTAATAGCAGCCAATTTTTATTTTGCTATTAACGCGAGGCATCGCTCTTCAAAATACGATCGAAGCGAACACTGAACTCCACCGAACTCATAAATCAAAAAGTAAAATGAAAATTCAACATATTCAATTGAACGTAACACAAAAAATGTGAGAGATAAAATATGACATAATCTGAGTACATACTAAGTACATTAAATTCTGTAAAAATTATCTACATTTCAAAGAACAAAATAATTATAAACGATGACATAAATTTAGGATGACGTGGAGATGGGTTACTTTGAAGCCGTGTAGCCGTGTCCAAAATGAACAAATGGTAAAAAGAGATCGTAGTAAATAATAAGCTACACGTTTAATCGATTGCTATGGGAAACCGACCACTGTGGGTTCGTATAAGAAACTACATCGATTCGAAGGTATCATTTGCAATTTTATGCGACTGCTCGGCAACCTACGATCTCAAGGTTCCATCCCTTGGCCGTCGTCGTTCTCCAGGTGTTCTTAATTATAATTACTGTTGTCCAGCACATAACTCCTGCGCGCTGAACTGTCGAGCCGTCGGCGAGCGTTTTTACGCAACGCTTGAACCGGTAGTAACGGACGGCACACCCTGCGACGCTCCGAATCTTCGTGGACGTAATACGGGAATTTCTATGGAGCGGACAGACCGATGGCTCTGTGTCGCCGGACAATGCAAGGTACGATCAACGAAACACCGTTTCGCGCCGGAAATTGATCGCGATTCATCCCTGATACGATCGAACGAATCGCCGCGCTCCGTTCCATCCGCGGGCTTTTACAACTTTTTCTCTTTTAATTACACCTCTCGCTCGATTACAACGCGGCTCCACAATTCCCTTTTGTTCGCGGCGGCACTTTTTGTTTTTTCGACCCGAGCTGTTCCTTTCTTTTGTTTGTCGAGCACGCCGGTGCCCGGTTCCGACTTTTGCCCTCGGTTGGCTTACTCCATTCGCTCGGCGCTGGATGAAACAGAAAATGGCCGCTGGGAAACGTTGCTAAGCGGCCGTTTCTGTTGCGTCGAATTGGCTTCCTGAAAGCAAAAAAAAATCAAATCACCAAGTTCTTCTTTCGAAATACAGTAATGTCTCCCTAATCGACGCTCAGATTCTGCGCAAAAATGGACAATTTGGGAAGAGGAGATACCATTATTCGAGCCTTGCAACTCGTTTTTATAGTTACTCATTGTCAACAATTATAAGAACGAGCTGCAAGACTCGAATAATCGTATCTACTCTTCCCAAATTGTCCATTTTTGTGGACAATCTGAGCGTCAATTAGGGAGACATTACTGTAGATGCTGATCAGCTCTCTGCACTGGAAGAATTTTCCTCGAATTATTTATCAATGTATTAATAAGATTTACCTTTTAATAAGATATAACCTCGTTATATTTGCAATAATATTAGATTCGCTCGGCGAATCTGTTAAAAATCTGTTTAACACGTTCGTCACCCAGCGCAATTCGGTTGAGTTTCTCGCGGGTCCCAAATCCGACTGTTGGAGCACCGAAACATGAACAGAGCGATAAATTTTTTAAATAAATAATTTTAAATTAATTTAACCTTGACATAACCTGAACATCAAAAAGCGAAAAAAAATGTAGAAAAAACTACGACCTATTGTTCGAATTGTCCAAAATCACCTCAAATGTGTTTAGAATGTTTCAACGCACACCATACGACATAGTATAATGTAATGTGTTATACTAAATATAAATTAGTAAAAAGTATAGTATAATATTATTATTATATTATACATATTATATATATATATATTATATTATTATATTTTATTCTTTTTAAAATCCAACTGAAAGTCCTATAAATTGAATAAGAAGAGCGTCACCCATATTTGGGTGACGAGGCTCCCACGGAAGCATACCCGTCACCCAGATCTGGGTGACGCGGCGACGAACGTGTTAAATAGTTAGCTAGATTAGTTAAATAATCAGCTATAGACTTAGAAACTCGCCTAAACAGGGACCGAGCGAGTGTAAAAAATGGAAAATATAAAATGACGTCGATTAGTCGCACAAAATGTTACAATGTCAGCTGCATTTGGAACGTCTCCCGAGAAGAACCAGCCGAGTGTAAAGGATTCGGACATCGTGAACAAACATCCGGAAGGAACGTCGATCAGTTTTTAATCGCAGTTTTCAAGTAGCAAGAGCGATCGGCAGTTTGTCCGATCGATCTATCGAGCGCGAAAGTCAACGGCGGACGGCGTTGATGCATGATTTCAAAATGTTGTCTTTTTTCTCTGTTCAGCCCGTAGGCTGCGACGGTGTGGTAGGTTCCGGCGTGACGATGGACGCTTGTGGTGTCTGCGGTGGTCAGGGTAAAGGTTGTCGTCTGTACGAGGGCATTTTTATGGAGCCGATCCTGCCGAGAGGTCATAAACCCGTGACCACCATACCGAAGGGAGCCATGTCTCTCAACATCTCCGAACTTCGGTTCAGTAGCAATTTCTTAGGTAGGCGATCCAGATGTAAAGCAGAGAAATGTAGAAAGAGAGAGGGAGAGAAAGGGGGAGAGAGAAAGAGAGAGAGAGAGAGAGAGAGAAAGAGAATAACCACACGAGGACGATCGCGTCACGTTTCTTCTAACGATCGATCCGATGTGTTTAGCGTTGAGAGACAGCAACGGTAGTTACATCCTGAATGGGCCGTTGGCATACAGTCCGAGCGGCACTTATAAAGCGGCTGGCACGACATTAACATACCAGAGGGGTGACAGAAGCCGCGTCGAGTGCATCTTGGCAACCGGGCCGCTCAACGATTCCTTGCATTTAGAGGTACGCCCATAAACACGCCTCTCCGGTCCCGTTCGAAACACTGCGCGTTTCAAAAGAGCACGGGCTGACGACGAATCGTGTCGACGCTTTGTTCGTGTCGTCGAACCAAATTTTAAAGCTCGAGAGAAGTTGCATCGTCCGATTCGGCGATAGAAAACAAAATTTTCCTGGCAGGAAATATTCGATCAAATTCGTTCCTGCGAATGAAATCGAAGACGATATTCCGTGCGATATTTCTGAAAAATATTCTAAGTTTCTTGACCTTTTGGATTACAATCGACGACTTTAATTAGTCCAACGAATAAAGACAGATCGTAGTTTTAATCTTTGTTTCGACGAATAGCTGTCTGTCAGAAAATGTTCTAGAAAATATGTTTTAGAGATTATTCTAGATACTTTAGAAAAATAAATTCAACATAAACAAAGAAAAATTCGAGTTGTATTCGACGAAGTATTAGAACGTTTCTACGTGCTTTGAATAATAAATATGACTTTAGCTCGTCCCAGAGATAGAAGGAAACCACGTTTTTGATGTGATTTATTGGCATCTCCGGTTCGACCGAAGCAAAATCCTGCTAGGAAGACAAATTCAACGCGAACCGGCAAAAATTAGAGTTGCACGACAAAACATTGGAACGTTTTCGAGTTTGAACAGTCGGAGTCCCAACAGGTGCAAAAAAAAAGTACCGTTGTTGCGGTTGGAAACGCGACCCAGGGCAATTTCGAGCGCGCAGCGTCTACGAAAATGCCTGCAACTCTCCAATTAATTTCGCCCGGCAGAATTCCGCGCCGCATTGTCCGTTATCCTGCATCGTCATACATCGCGCGGCGAACGGTATTGTATTTTCGGAATTGTTCCCGCAGATCCTGGCGCAGGAAATGAACCCCGGAGTGCTTTACAAGTACATGTTGCCGTTAAAGGAGACGCCGAACAGGAGGGCGATGATTGCGCCGCCCCTCCTCGCGACAGGTAACCATTTTCGCCGTCGAGCGCTTAATCGAATGCATTTTTCACGCCGTTGACGATTGTCTTCGGTTATGTTATGTGCGTTATGCGTACGGATGAACCGCGTTGCCTTGGCGAGAGAGCCCGGCCCTTACGCAACGCGCTTCACCGTCGAGATCCATGACTCACGCGCAAATGGGAATCGCGCGGACCGCACCGTCCAGTGATTTGTTGCTTTCTCCATCTTTGTTGCAGGATCGATCGATCGTGGCAACGAAATACCTGATTCGGATGCTCGCGTCGCCCCGACGATACCCGCGACCAGAATGTAAATATACGCCGAGCGCCGTGCGGCTTGTCTGCCCGCGGAGATTGATACCGTCAAGCTCTGGGACTCGGCTGACTGCGCGCCAAGCCTCTTGTCCCGTTCAAAAACGATCAAGAAAAGCTAATACCACCCCCGGCAAAAGTATTCGATCGATCCGCCCGGTCTAGCCAGACGATTGTTCGCGCGAACGAATGCGCGACGCGCTTCTCGCGAAGCTAAAAGGCTTCGAAACGCCGATTCTTCGAACTGCTGTCATCTCGAAGCAAGGGACCGTACGACATTGGTTTTGAACTCGTTTTAAAGGGTGCAGTTTCTCCTATCAACCCTACCAATTTTATTTTTATAGTATGTTGGGCTCGTCTTGCGAAGGGGGGAAATCGATGGGACGGAAGTTCGCAATGAAAATATCGCTAAACCGTGGGTGGAAGATTGGGGATGTTGAAACTGCTGTAACTTTGTGGGAAAAAATCGAGGGACTATGATTTTTAACTCATTTTCAAGCGCGGAGTCTCTACTTCCACTCTCTTCGATCCTTCTTTTCTAAAATGTTAGGTTTGTTTCGCGCGGGAGAAAAATTGACGACACGAATGTTCAGAGTAAAAATATCGCTGAATCACGAGTGGAAAATAGGAGACGTTAAAACCGCTGTAACTTCTGCGGAAAAAATCTTACGACGATGAATCTTGTCTCATTTTAAAGGGAAACGTTTCCACTTTCACCCTTACAAATCGGATCTATCTCGTACAGATGATAAATCGGCTACAGCGAAGACCGGCGTAAAAATATCATCGATTCGTACGTGAAAAATTGCGGATGTTTCAGTTATCGTAACTTCGTGGAAAGGAATCGCTAAACGATGAATGTTGACTCATTTTAAAGCTGGGAACCTCTATTTTCGCGAACCGCGGATCGTTCCGTTCCAAGATTTTCACGGAAGCTCCGCGATCGCGTAGAAAATGTAACGATACTCTCGAACCGTGGTCGGTCTCGATCGAATACTCGGCGCCGGAGAGTCGTCACGAGGGTGGACCTGGTTCGTGTTCGTTGCAGCGATACCTCGATTTTCCAGATCCGATCAGAGAGTCGATTTATCAGCGACGGGACACGAGCATCGGCGACCGCGGCCGCGTGACAGACCGCGGAAGGAAGAGATGAAGCGCCAGCCGACCACCGCGATGGCCGGCGATCAACCAAAGTCCAAGGCCAAAAAGAAGAGACGGTTGAAGTTCGCCTGGAAGGTGGCTGGACTGACCCCGTGCTCGAAGGAATGCGGCAGAGGTACGGGACACGCCTATTTTCCTTGTCGAGCCGCGATATTACGACGCTTTTACGCCCGTCCCGCGACCTCCGACACCTGAATCCTTTTTTTCCGAACGTATTTACGTTCGCGAGAGAACGCTTCGCTACTCTGACCCAGATCTTTCGACGGCACGAAATATGAAATACAGGCACCCATTTAAAAGAACACGATGGCCTTCGAATCTCTTGAGCAACGGAACGAATTTGTCCCGGTGTTGAACGACGCAAGAAACGAACAGCCATCGGTTTCTTATAGTAGAGCTTCGATTGTCCGAACTTCTGATGCTTGAATCCGGTTCAAATATAAATAGCACGGTCTAAGAACGCCTGGCTGATTGTTTTTATTAAGTTCTTAATAGTTCGTATTACGTTTATTCGGTGTATTACTCGACTTTTATCGAGGATAGTATCGTAAATTCTTCTAATCGACGCTCAGTTTGTACACGAAAATGGACAATTTAGGAATAGAAGACACGATTATTCGAGTCTCGCGACTGATTTTTATACGTGCCGATGGTCGACGATTATAAAAACGAGGTGCAAGGCTCGACTAATCGTATCTCTTCTTCCGAAATTGTGCTTTTTCGTTTACAAGCTGAAGGAAAATTAGAATTTACTGTAACTCTAATCGAAATAACTGGAATTTAAATAACTATAATCTAAATAACTGCAATCTAAGTACAGTAAATTCTCCCTAATTGACGTTCAAACTGTCTACAAAAATAGACAATTTGGGAAAAGAGATACGATCATTCGAGCCTTGCAGCTCGTTTTTATAGATGTTGACAATTCGTGACTATAAAAATGAACCGCAAGGATCGAATAATCGTATCTCCTCTTCCCAAATTGTCCACTTTTGTGGACAATCCGGGCGTCAATTAGAGAGACATTACTGTAACCGTAATCTAAGTAATTGTTCTATCATCGTTCGCGTTCCTCTTCAACGCTGGACGCAATTCTCGCGACGGCCGTCGCGTTCACGCAATTCGGATCGGTGCTTCAGCTCGTAGCTTCCCACAAATTCGTAGCTGTAGAAGTTTGCTAAACGACGCCGGGCGTCGAGAGTGGTCGTTAGAGCGTTAAACGAGCGGCCAGGGGAAAAAAAAGAGTGTGCGGACAATCGACAAGCTCGTCCTTGAATGGATCTGGTAATCGAGTATCGCGCGTGGGAAGCCGGTCGGGAATCGTTCGTTTCGGTATTATCGGCCGGCTCGTAGGGCCGTGAGATTACGAGGCTCGATTCGCTCGTCGCCGTCACGGAAGTTCCGTCCAATTCACGAAATTTATTAGCAGGAAGCCCCACAGGAAGCGCTCGTCCCACGTTATTATTATTTTCCACCGACCGGAGTGTTACACGCGAACCCTGTTCAACGGGGACCGCCGAGATTTCATTTGGACTGACAGCTCATACGGGCCAGCCGAGATAACGTCGTCCCGGCTGTCACTGTCACCTTCGTTTCCTTCCACGACAGTGACACTCTCTCTCTTCTAGCTTTCGACGTTCCCCGCGACGAGCCACAAAAGGCTCATCAATTTGTCCGAACTCTTTTAATCGACCTTAAGTTCCACTAATTGGTCGCGGTCTCGATTCTGGCTGCCAATCTACCTCGAACTTTTGTCATACGTTTTGTTTTCTTTTTCTTGTTTTTGGAGGAACAGATCTAACGTTCTCGATTATAATAACCAGACTGCTGGATCTTCGTGCTTATTAGAATAAAAATTGACTTCGTCGATTGCAAGATGCCGGAACTACGTAGACGTTTATTTAGTTTCCTGGTAATTTTAACCCTTTCCACTCGAACGGCGATTCCAAGGCGCCATTAAAAATTGCTATGTCACGTTTGAAAATAATTTTACTGATCGAATTTGTTCGTATTTGAAGAACCGTTGAAAGAATAACTGTTGCATCGATCACAAAATTCAATTTCATACGTATAAAATGCATTAGGTTATATAAAATGGAAATACAGTGGGTCGGGAAAAGTATATTAAATTTTGCGTTAATTTGCCTTCGAGTGCAAAGGGTTAATATTAATCTAGCGTGCTGATCAAAATTATTCGATTAAACTTGGCAATTTTCAATATGACAAACGTGGGCTCGCGTTAAAAGAGTTACATTGACGAGGGTGCATCGAACTTAAAATCCAGAAACACTGTCTATAGTAGAAGTTTCAAGCTTTAATATAAAAGAAGGATCATCGTCCCACGATGATTTCTCGCGAAGTTATCGTCGATAAAAGTCGGCCAACTTTAGAATACCACCGATTTGGACGTAATCCGATAATCGCGGTCCGAGGGTTAATCTACCCTGCTGTCATTTCCACGCGAAAGTATCGTCATAAGATAACACCGATCCCTGTGAACCCGTTCAGGCGTCCAAACGGCACTGTTCAAATGCGTCCGCGAGTCGAACCAGCAGTTCGTGAACGAGCACCACTGCCGAAACGTGGGAAAGCCACTGTCACCCCCGGTCTACTGCAACGACTACCCTTGCCGACCCAGGTAACGCATCGCCGTGCGATTCCGAAAATTAAACACCGGATCAACGAGCTGTCACGACTCGCGACTTTTCAGGTGGCGGCCGGAACCGTGGAGCGAGTGCTCGGTCAGCTGCGGGACCGGCACCAGGACACGAAAATTGGAGTGCATGCAGGAACTGAATGGGAACCTGACGGTAAGAGTGATCGCAGGTGCGTGCGATCAACCGCCGGACCTGATCACCGTCGAGACCTGTACGAATCCGGCGTGCACCGTTGGCCCCGAATTGAGGCACATGCACTCGGACGTGCCCAGATGGGACGTGGGCCCTTGGGCGCCGGTAAGTGGACCCTTTTTTTCGGTTCTGATACTCGTAGAGAACACTCGGCGTCTCGTGTGAATGTCCTCGAGTGGAGGCTCTCGAGGAAAACTTAATGCTTCTCGAGGACAGAGTTGACCGATTTCGAAACGCTTCAGCCCGCGGCTTATGTTTTATTCGCGAGGAAACGCGCAGAGAATTCAATTTAGCGCAACTTTACGCGAGGAGCTGTCGCAGAATTAAATTCAAATGCGTCTGCTCTTATTTAATATGCTTGCTAAATTTGAACACTGTTTCACATTTGTAATAGAACAGATTTTATGATGGAACAGTAGTATTAAATAAAAATTGAAAAATAATCGTTTTAAATTACAACGAAGTTAAGAGAAGAAATTCTTGACAGAATTGAAATATTGCGAAATTTATAAACTATTCAAATTCCTTTTTGATATTGTTTGTTTTCTAATCATTCACCGTACTGACGCAATTTTCAGACAGGGGGAAAAAAGGCAAGGGAACGTGTAAATATGTATACATACATATATTTGTTTAACAGTGAGAAGAAAATATGGTTTTCAAACATTGAAATACGCGTCGCTCGTCAAATTCGAGTTTGGCGCGGAGAATGTTTGATGGCGAGACTCGTCGTTGCCACTTAAGGGGTCAAGTAACACTTTTGCTACCGGCATCTTCCTATCGTGCACAATTAAATAAGTGGATTGAAGATTTTAATCAAGCGTGACATGCTTGAATTTGTATCTTAAAGTGGATTCGTTTTTGCAATTCATACTTGCCTTCGTCGATTCGCAGATTTAACGCACTCGGAGAGTGCGAAAAACTAACAAAAACTAACGAAAACTCGAGCGTATCTATTCGCGGTAGTAAGTAACGTTTTAAATAACAAGATCGTTTAAGTAAAACTCAATAAAGACTGCGTTGATATAGATTTCATAAAACAAAAATCGCTGATTTCGAAAGTACCAGCCGTTTTTCTGACCCGTCTCGTAAGAGAGGACATTCGAATGAAAGGGTTAGTCGAAGATCATCGATCGAAAATTTCTTAAAAAATTATTTATAATTATTGAGCTTCTCTTGGGCATAACTCGATCGTTGAAAGGCCTACCGATAGGCTCCCGGCAAAAATAAAATGTTAATAGTATCGCATATTTCTTCCTGAAACTTCGCTTAAAAATCCGAAACAATTAATCACAAATACAATTCATCGAACAGTAAAATGTCCCGAAAGTTTCCAAACGATTCGAAAACTCGAGCTCCGCGAAAGCGATTTATTCCGGCGTTTTCAGTGTTCCACGACCTGCGGGCCAGGGGTCAAGAATCGAACGGTGACCTGCATCACATCGGGCATGGCCTGTCCCCTGTTCGACAAACCCGAGTCCGAAAAAATCTGCGATTCCGGACCCTGCGTCCGAAACGGCGCGGAGCAGCGATCGCCGTGGTTGCACAGCGATTGGTCGTCCAAGGTGAATCGAATAGAGAAAAGGATGTAAAGAGGAAGAGAGAGTGTTCGATTCGGTACGAACCTTTGATCGTTGTTCCAGTGCTCCTCGGAGTGTGGCAGGGGAGTGGAGACGCGGCAAGTGGCCTGCGCGGATGGCAGCGAGCTGTTTTGCAATCCCAAAGAGAGACCGGAAACTGAACGGCAGTGCTTCGGAAGAGGCGCCAGCTGCGACAGCGCCAAGTGGTTCACTGGCCCATGGACATTCGTTAGTAGCCGACAACTAGAATAGATTCTCTCGCCTGAACGATCCCATTGATCTCTCGGTCGCTGCCTTGAACACTGCGAAATGGAAAGGGACGGTTCGTAGTTGGATCCGGAACGTGTTCGTATCGATTCCGATGATGAACGAACTGGGTTTACGATCCTTTCGCGAATTCGTGACTCGTGGAAATTTCAGTGCTCGGGCAAATCGAAATCAAAATAAGAAATAATTGATTTCGTTATTTGGAAATAAGATTACCGATCTGTTTGAAATACTAGCGACTGCAAATAATAGATTACTTCTTTCTTTCTATTTCAAATATGACGAAAAATAATTCTTAACACGTTGACCGCCGCGACGGTCACTTGTGGGTGACGCTAATTTTTGACCAATTTTGAAAATTCATTTTCATTGCAATATATTCGTACAAACTGAATTTGACCAGAATGTTTGGGATGCGAAAGGGTTCTAATCTCATCCACTATGATAAATTTCAACCTTCTAGGTTCGGTTTAATTAATCAAATTGCTTTGACTTTGTGGGAATTTTTTTTAGCGGGCGATTGTCGGCGCTGAACGTGTTAAAATAGTATGCAACGAAAAGATTTTATTTTAAGAAGTCTTCACACGAATTTCTTTTAAGCAAAACACTTCCTCCATAAAGATACAATCGTTGAAGAAATATGCAACAAAATGAGTTTATCCTTGAGAAATTTTTGTCCGGACATGTCTAATATTATTCCTAAAGAATCGCGAAGCGTTGTTCTTTAGAACAGTATTTTTTATTACCGGACAATGATTTAACATAATTTAGATATCGGATTGGTCCTTTTGCATCGCAGAAATATCAATAAAACTGCATAATTTCCGAGAAGAACTCCGCATAAAATAAAATAACGCGAATAAAACAAAGTAAAATAAAATGTGTCTACGTGCGATCGTAGTCGCGAAAAGTAGTGTTATTCTGTAAACATTGTTTTTAAATTGTATATCGTAAAAAAAATCGCAGTTCAGAAACACGTACACTGAGATGTCCAACGATGCTTATGAAAAGTTTTCCATAACGTTCGCATTTTCCTAAAGAGAATACGAGATAGAAACATAGAAAGTCGATATTCCAGATTCTGTTTGCGCATCGAAGCTTTAAAAGAATATGATAACGAAGGTGCAGAAAAAATCGTCTCGAATCGAAGCTTCGAACGAACATATAACCCATACTTTCCACAATGTACATGGACGTTGAAGCTTCGAAAGCGGTACAACATCCGACTTCCAAAGGTTCGGGAACCATTAACCATAGAAGGGTTTGAAAAATCGGACGGTTTGCCAGGGGAAAGCCGCTTTCCAGATCACAGTGTCCCATCGCGGCTCTCTTTGGAGAGCCATAGTATGTTACATGGATACGGTTTCAGTGTTCGGTGTCATGCGGAGTGGGTGTCCAGTACCGGGACGTCCTTTGCGCCGCGAGGACGAACAACGAATTCGTCGTGTTGCCGGCGAGCAACTGCAGCGACTCGAGGCCGTCGAACGAGCAAGTGTGCAGAACAGCGTCCGCCTGTCCGCCGGAATGGTTCACCTCGGACTGGTCGAAGGTAAATCGTGCGGGAAAATTTACGATCGCGCCGGGTTAGGTCCGCGAATTTTTCCCCACCGGCCGTGTAAATACTCGGGGCCGCTTTCAGTGTTCGGTGACTTGCGGGACCGGCGTGCAAACCAGACTGGTTCGCTGCATCCTCGAGGGTGTCGCCGACACCAACTGCTTGGAAGCTGGCAGACCGATGGACAGACAACAGTGCAGCTTGGATCCTTGCACGGAGGACCCGCCCGCGATCAGCAGACCACCGAAAAGTGAGTGGTAATGGCCCTCCTCGTTAACGTCTGCCAGCCTCGGGGAAGTTACGCGTGTTGCGAAGAAGTTGCTAACGTTAATGCTAACTCGCGCGAGAATTTAAGATTAGTTTTATTTTAATTAAAAAATGATCACACTTACGTTAAAATTAGTTGAAACAATGTACGATAGAAATTGTAAAAATGGTCGAACTTTTAGTGTATCGATTGAACACAAATAACTTTTTCTTCGTTCAGAAACCCAAAATAAAACACTTCGACGTGTTCCCTGTAAGCGATTAAATGCGAAGACTATAATATGCTACCGATCGACCTCGACTTATAGGTGTGTCTGAAATACGACGTTAACGAGGATTGGTAAAGGATCTACGCTACAACCTCTCGCGGGAAACGGTGTGTTAACGAACGCTAAATGCTTTCAGAAGCCTTCGAGACTACGTCCCAGTGCGTCGACAAGTACCAGACCTGCAACGTGATAGTGAAGTACGGCCTGTGCCGGATCAAGTATTACAAGCATTCTTGCTGCCGATGCCGCGATTAACTCTCCGATCGCCATCATTTCCGGCGGATCCATCCTTCCACGGTTTCCGAACCGTTTCTTCGTCGTTCGACTAAGCTCTTAGCGCACCTTCTTAGCAAATGTAACGCCGACCGTCGATCGAAACGGAGGAAGCCGAACGCCAAGAGCGCTGCGAAGCGATACGACTGTATTATTTTATTTAACACGGCCCCGTCCGCTCTGCGGAGACGAGGGAATGGCTCTCGATCTTAACCCTGAAATGGTACCCTGTTCGCTCGCATCATCTGGTTCTGAGTCGGAGTCAACGTTAATTTGTGCGTGAACAATTACCTCCGTCAGTAGTAGATTGCGGATTTTTATGCGAAATAAAAGCTAAGTTGATTGCAAGCAACGCAAATTAGATGGAAATGGCTTACCTTTTCTATTAATTGCGTTAAATTGTACATATTGTAACGGTAGTCTTAAAAATTCGCCTAACGTAGTTACAGTTTTTTATTTGATCTATCCATTTTTGTCACAAACGCATCAAATCCACGGTCTAGTCGTAAGGAAGCGTAATCGATGATGATGCGTCGTTTGAAACAGGGGGAACGATTTGGACCGCAGAGGGCAGAGTTCAAAGGTTCGAAGAAAATTGCAGAAACTCTACAGGATGTTCCATGATTGTGTTAACACCTGGAAAGAGGCGATTCCTGAGGTCATTTCGAGTAATTTTTCCCTTAGCGAAAATGCAATCCGCGACTTTGTTTACGAGTTATTCACGAAAAACGCTGACCAATGAGAGGCGAGATCAGCTGGTGCGAGGCGGCAGAGTCAATCAGCGGAACTGGTATTCGACCGCTCGACCGCTGGCGCCGTTCGCTCGACCGCTGGCGCCGTTGGCTCGCCCGCTGGCGCCGTTAGTTCGACCGCTGGCGCCGTCGGCTCGGCCGCCTCGCGCCAGCATATCTCGCCTCTCATTGGTCACTGTTTTTCGTTAATAACTCGTGAACGAAGCCGCGGATCGCATTTTCGCCAAGGAAAAAGTTACTTCGAATAACCTCAGGAATCATTCCTTCCCAGGTGTTAACACAATTATGGAACACCCTGTATATCCACGGAAACTTTGGCTGGGATCACGAAGTATCTTAAAGTACCATTACAGGGTTAACGCTTCAGGCGAGAACGGAACGCGAGCCTGTTCACGGATCAGAGATTTATATCTCCAGCCGTCTGTCTACTTGTCTCTGCGCGGTGTCTAATCCCGTAGCTTAATTAGATCGATTGTCTCTTTGATCCCTCGCGAGAGAGATGGCCTCGGGCCACGTTGCAGCATTAGTTCGTTGTTTTTCGAGGCCACGGCTGAACACCGTGGAAGACGTTCGCGAACCTAGACGGAACCAGAACTAGTCCGAAGTCTCTAAAGAGGGAAGCGAATTCTAGGTTCGAGCGATCCACACGGGAGCCTACGCACGCCCACGCGATTCCACACGGAGGAAAGCGTCTTGTATCGCGCGTGTGTTCGCGTGGACAGCTGGCAGGGGCGTAATTTCGCCGATCGATCGACGGATCGATCGACCTTGCTCCCCTGTTCGAATTCGGGGCGAGCCAGGAGCCGTCCGGGTCGATCGCGCGGCCGTCGTTCGTGCCCGACGACTCCATTATTCGAAGCGGTATGGTCTGATGGTCAATAAAGATATCGGAAGTAGAAAGTTCCTGCCCAATTTTTTCCAAAATCCTGCGACAGCCTGGATACTCGCCGCGGTTTATCTCGGCCGCGCGATAAACATGTCCAGGCCGACGGCGCGAGAAGCCGGGATTATCATTGTTACGCCCCTGGATAAGTTGCGATCCATTTGCATGCACGTTCCACGAGAAAACTTGTACTCCCGTGTAACCGCATACATGCAGAAGAACGTGCGTGAGCGGCCCGGTGACGGGACAGCGTGCGTCCGCGTTAGCGATGGGACCGATCCGATCGGGCATCCGGATCGAACAAGCGCAAACTCGATTTCAAGCAAGTTTATTGGAATTCGCGGTAAACGTACCGTCGAGATAAGCAAATTTGCGTCGTTTCTTCCAGAATTGTTGGAACGATAAGAATTCTATGATTGAAAATGATCGGATAAATTTGTCAACTCGAGCATACAATCTCGTCGAAACGTCGGAAAGTCTGAACAAATACAGATTTGTAATTCTTACGAAGCAATATACGACAATATACGGTAAACTAAACAGTGATCGGTTCTGGTCCAGTTTCGAAAATACCACAAAACTGGATCACTTTCGAGCGACGCGGCGTTTCTCGCAAACCTACGATCGTCGGTCCAAATCCTTGACTCGGCGATCGCTGAAATATCAATTCGAATAAATTGCGCGAGGTCCAAGTAAATTCAATCTACATATGCATAGCAGTCGCGTTTAGATTCGAAAGAAGGTTGCGACGAAGCGAGAATCGTGGAAGATACGAGATCGACAGATCGAGGAAAAAGCAATGATCCGGGGAACGGTTCGAATTGAAAACGACGACTGGTCCCATCGCTGGCTGGGAGCGAGCACGCAGTCTGGAGTCGCGGCGAAAACGAAAAGCAAAAGCCGTCGATCGATACGGCCGAGTGTGCTCTCGGTGTACACTCGATAGGTAGACCGTATTAGTTGCAAAAGGTTATTTATCGTCCGCGCCGGCGATACGGGCGAACGGACGATGGATGCGAGCCGCGGGCAATTTCCGTTATCGAGCATTTAATTAACATATCGAGTCGAACGGATCCCGGCGATTTTGATTTACGAGCTCTGCTTATTAACGATCTCGTCCTTGTCGCACTCTCCGTTCGCACGGGAAGGACGGTGCTTCGATAGATTTCTAGCGATACCGTGGAAGAATCTGTGGCTCGACGGCAGGAAAACTGTAGAGAGAACAGNCATTTGCATGCACGTTCCACGAGAAAACTTGTACTCCCGTGTAACCGCATACATGCAGAAGAACGTGCGTGAGCGGCCCGGTGACGGGACAGCGTGCGTCCGCGTTAGCGATGGGACCGATCCGATCGGGCATCCGGATCGAACAAGCGCAAACTCGATTTCAAGCAAGTTTATTGGAATTCGCGGTAAACGTACCGTCGAGATAAGCAAATTTGCGTCGTTTCTTCCAGAATTGTTGGAACGATAAGAATTCTATGATTGAAAATGATCGGATAAATTTGTCAACTCGAGCATACAATCTCGTCGAAACGTCGGAAAGTCTGAACAAATACAGATTTGTAATTCTTACGAAGCAATATACGACAATATACGGTAAACTAAACAGTGATCGGTTCTGGTCCAGTTTCGAAAATACCACAAAACTGGATCACTTTCGAGCGACGCGGCGTTTCTCGCAAACCTACGATCGTCGGTCCAAATCCTTGACTCGGCGATCGCTGAAATATCAATTCGAATAAATTGCGCGAGGTCCAAGTAAATTCAATCTACATATGCATAGCAGTCGCGTTTAGATTCGAAAGAAGGTTGCGACGAAGCGAGAATCGTGGAAGATACGAGATCGACAGATCGAGGAAAAAGCAATGATCCGGGGAACGGTTCGAATTGAAAACGACGACTGGTCCCATCGCTGGCTGGGAGCGAGCACGCAGTCTGGAGTCGCGGCGAAAACGAAAAGCAAAAGCCGTCGATCGATACGGCCGAGTGTGCTCTCGGTGTACACTCGATAGGTAGACCGTATTAGTTGCAAAAGGTTATTTATCGTCCGCGCCGGCGATACGGGCGAACGGACGATGGATGCGAGCCGCGGGCAATTTCCGTTATCGAGCATTTAATTAACATATCGAGTCGAACGGATCCCGGCGATTTTGATTTACGAGCTCTGCTTATTAACGATCTCGTCCTTGTCGCACTCTCCGTTCGCACGGGAAGGACGGTGCTTCGATAGATTTCTAGCGATACCGTGGAAGAATCTGTGGCTCGACGGCAGGAAAACTGTAGAGAGAACAGAGAGAGAGAGAGAGAGAGAGAGAGAGAGAGAGAAAGTATGAGAGAGAGCGAGAGAAAGAGAGAGAGAGGAATCCGTCGTTTCCGCGCGGTCGATGCCGACCAGATTCGCGAGACTAGCGAGTAGCGTTAACGTTAATTATAGCAATGGTGTCGAATCAAATATACGCTTGTCTGTGTAGAAACTGTAAGAGAGTCACTGGTAAACCGTGTCGTACACGCGTAGAAACGAGTCTAACGAACGTGATCTAGCAGCGGAAGTCGCGGCGAGATCCTCGAGGTGCGTCGATCGTCCACGAGGTCCTTCGAGATCGCAACGCGGGCTTAACGATTAAGCATTAAGCGGCGTACGTCCCGACGGTTGATAGCAACCTCGTCAAAATTGCGCGGGCAATCAATCCTCAGTGTCAATTAAATCGCATTCCGGTTTTCCTTCGCGATCTCCAAGGAAGCTCGCCGTATCCGATCCGCTGTCGCGCGCCTGTCCCTCGAGGAAAGACGATTTCTGTTTTCACGGTTATACCGGTCGCTTCGCAATAAACTTTCCGTTTCTCCTTCTTCTATCGTTTGCTTTACTTTATCACGGAGCGCGTTTTTCATTCAGGTAAGTGTCGATTTTTGAATTATTTTAGTAGATGCTACGTTCTTTTCTTTTCTTTTCCTTTTTCTCCACTGTCGCCGTAGCGTTTCCGTTACTTTTTTCCATCTTCTCGTCGACATTTCGTTGCGATTCTCTTTCTGATTAGTGCTCACTAGTTGCTAGATCTTGTTTCTGCTCGGAGAACGTAGCTCGCAGTTCTTTCGCAGGCTTAATCGGATTCTAGATACCGATCCCCCCTCCGACTGTTCCACCGATTTGTATTAAACCCGTTCTTCGCGGTCTAGAAACTATACACGTTCGATTAACCTTTTAACCGGCAGTGACCAAAAACCGGAGTTCGCTTTTCTCCGAATCTTCAAAGAAAGAGAGAGAACGATCCGCTTTATTTCGTCCATGTCTCATCGAAGTTGTCTCAGAGTCACCCGTTTAGAAGGTTAAAGGATCATCCTCGGGGCCTAAACATCTGCGGAACTTTATGCACCCGCGGAGCTTCGGTGATTTCGAAGCGATTCGGCGAACGCCCCGTCGAACCCTTCTTCCGAGGAACGTCCACGAAGTTCCGCAGTTTGGAACCGACCGACCGAGGAAAAGGGTTGTTCAACCCGAAGGTTCACCGGTGAACGCGCACATACCTACAAGTGTATTATCTGTCGGCAATTACTCGAGTATTAATATTTATGGCTGTGACGTACACCATGAATCGTAAATGTGTCTCTACGTGTCTCGGCGAAGGGCGACCTCCCCCCCACACGCGCCGCGTGTTATTTAAATGACCAGCCCGCGTACGCTGGCCCGCGTACCCCAGGGATAAGAAAGGGGCCTGGAAACCGTTTCACGGTCAGCCGGATCGTTCCGAAGGGAGACACGAGCAATATCCGCGTTTCACCATGTACATATTTACACGGGCACCCCCTTCTGCTCCTGCGTCTATCCACTCGAGCCAGTTTCACTTCCGGTAGCAGAGTAGACAAGTAGCGGGTAGACACGATCTACCCAGTAGTCGTCGGGCACTGTGTTTCTGCCGGGGCTGCGGCTCTTCGATTTTTCAATTATTCGAACCTCGATTCGCGGTCACAGAAAATTGTTACACTCGTCCTCCGTCTTGTCGTACGTGGACGATACGATTTAAAAGTTGCGTACTTTATCCGGATAGAATGAATTTCGTTAAGATTCGTGATTTAAAAGATAACAGTTTATATATAGTTGCAGATCACTGTTTTATCAATTAACCGGTTAGCTGTTTCCGACGAGGATGCTCGGCTAAAAAAAACAGCTAACTGGTTAAGGAGGATGTACATTTCCATATTCTTTATTAAATTATATATTTCGTAAGAGTATACCATGTATTTAAACGAAATACATGGTATAAAATTACACGGTAAAAAACTTGCAGACTTTTTCCAGAGGCTGCAACAGCTAACTGGTGAAATCGGTCCGATCTCGTGGGATTTTTTAAAGTAGAAAATTTTTGATGCCAACATCGTACATTATTTTATGCGAATCGGAACTAGGAGAGAATTACTTTCGCCGACGACAAGGTGTTTAATGAAAGACGCTGTTCATTTTTATTAAAACACGCGTTCTCTCGTGTTCCATAAATTCACTGCATAAGAATTCGCGATCCGATTGTGACACATTCGTGTTCCAACGAAAATGATGAACGAGTCAGAAGCATTTTTACTAATTTAATGCATCGATGCAGTGACCTGTAACTATAAGACTGCAGATTTGACGCGCTTGCGACAAAATTGAATAAACGAAGCACGTAACAATGAAAATGTTACGTTAACAATGAAGATGTTAGATCGAAAGGCAAAATCTCTACAACCGATAGAACAGCTTCGAAGTTCGAATCGCTTGAAAACTGGAATTCTGTGAACTTGCAACCCCCGGCCCCCACGCTTCCCACACCCATCACCGCATTCAGACACGATATATTTTTGTACACGGCTCGATCGAAGCCACGAGCACATTTCGGAAAGTATCCAATATCTCTCTACGCGCCTAATCTCTGTCGCCTTTATGTGAATCAAAGTCTGTCGTCTATTATATTAATCACGTTCGTCCGGGACACGCTAGCCGTGCTCGCCGGCGAATGCGACTTCGTCAAAGATTGTGATACAATCGTAGTCTCTTGCAAGAGTGAAGTACAACGAACAGTAATTAAGGATAATGTCTCGTTGCGAGGACCGGCGCACGGTTCTCCCTCGAAGACGCGTAATTTAGGGTAATTGAGAAAGATGCGTGGAACGAGAGATCGGGAGTGTGTGCGTGTGTGATTCTCGGTGCGTACGCGTTCTTAGGCTTAAGGATCTGTAAAGCAACACTGGAGAGTACAGACTGAACGGACAGGACTCGATGTTGTACACCGTGGATATCGATGTTACGTGTTTTAGGGTGTATTTCGCGCAGGATACCGTAGTTATCGAAACCGATTAGGCACCTGACTTGCTCAAACAGAGATCTCGAACTGACTGGGTACCATTGTCGAGCTTATTCGTTTCGCTGAGGATTTTAATCGGTTCGTAGCAGATCGTCCCACAATGAACGCGATCAACCGTGGGCTAAATACGAACGGTCATGTATTAAGTACAACGTTGTACTTGCTCAATGCGAACGTGCATAGATTATGCGACCGAGAGTGCGATCGAAACTAGCGTAGAACGATCCCTCGCGCAACGACGAGGGATAAATTGCGGGATAAAATGTTCTAATCGAAAGCGTTGCTTTCGAGAAAATCAAGTTTGAATGCGCGTGTTAGCTAGAAGTAGAAACGGATGATCATGGTCGGACACGTCGGTTAATTTCGATTCACTGGCATTCTCAGTCGATTTTCTTTGAAACTAAACCTCGGAACGAAAAATCGTATACCACGCTTTGCATTGGCTTTTCGCGCGAAGAATCGTTCCATACTATTTTGAGCGGTACTCGCGGCCTCGGTTTCTACAAACGTGAAGATTCAAGTCGAATTATTAAGGTAAAACGATTAGACTGCGGATCTTCGTGCACTCGCAGGATCTGTGAATTTACAATACATGCATACAATAAGGAATCTTATGAGAACTGGAATTTACATAAAAATCCGCAGTCTAGATGTATGTTTCATGGAAGCTCGCGATCGTTGTATTAAAGATAAAAGTTTATTATAAATCTATTATAATATACAACATATAAATATATGAATGTGTATATATATAAAAAGGAGCGAGCTAGTTAAAAAAAAGAAAAACAGCGTATGTATCTAACATAGGTACATGACTATCAGTGTGTATCGTGCTACAAGAAATACTAATGTTAGTCATTATTTTCGGACATTTATTCGTCGTTTGTATGTGAAGCACATAAAGATGTCTGGTACATTGAGCGTTCTCATGAATTAATTGTTCTCCAGGTTGACACCTTTGCCGGTCCACCTCTCCTTGAGCTCTACCTTGAGTCCCAGGTCCCTCAGAGCCATTTTCACGTCGCTCTCGACCTTGGCGCCGTGCTGCTTCAGGGCCCCCGTGAGGACGTCCTCTATACCATAGGCAATAAACTCTTGACACTCGTTCTTATTGCGCACAGACATGTTTCGGATCGCCCAAGAGGCTTGCTTCAACACGCTCACGCTCTTCGAATAAGCTTTCATCGAGTCGATGATTACAAGCGGAGCTCCGCAATCGTAAAACACACCGGCGTTTAGGGGACACCTCAGCGTTAATGCGGAAATGCATGCAAGGCCAGCTTGAACCACACACTCAGAACCCTATGGCACAATCAACGTTTAGAGAACGCTAGTTAGGGAAGCCTAGGTGAGAAAGGTCTCTCGCAGGAAGCTGTCACCGCGTTTGCCTACTTACTTTCATTCTGCTGATGGCAGAGACTATCAGCGGCCCACAGCCTGAGCTGATCACGTGAAATTTCACTTCGTCGTTGCCAGCCAGGGCCTTCAGCAGCTTCAAGGCCTGCCAGTTTAACTTCTCCGAGTCTGGATAGTCGATCATCACGTCTATCACAAACTTCAGCCCACCTGCATCCTCTACCTCCTGGCAGAACTCGTTCCTCACGATTAGGGCAGCTAGAGTTATCATCACATCCCCCACTACCTCTTTATCCTTCCTGTATTCTATGCGAAATGTGTTCGTTAGAGTAGCGTATCGTTTGAAGGTTTTCGTTCAGTCATCTTCAAAAACATTCATAATTCACACAAATCCAGGCAGACTTTTGTTTCGAGAGGCACACCTTGCAGTGATCATAAATTTCGTCTATTTATTTTAAATATTTCAACAAATTGGTATGTCTCCACTTACGTAGACACGCGAAAAGATTATTTAGACACGATTTGTGATCACCGCGAAGTAAGAAACGCCTCTCTCTTTGAATAACCAGTAGTCATTCGAATGGAGTATTCTGTATAAGGAACTACGTACTTGACATTAACCCGGTTAGAACATTTAGAGCTCCTTTCGCGATCACTGTCGCATGTTCGTGGGCTTTCCCAAATTCATGCCTAATATCGTCGTCCAATACCAAAGCTCTGATCACGCTACAGGCATCCCTTAACTCGGATCCACTGGCATCCTCTCTCATCAATATCTTTTTGAGCTTAGCAAAGATATCAGCATTAAATATATTTTGTCTATTTAATTCGTGCTTTATGCAACACTCTCTTATCCAGCGCAAAAGGCATTGTAATGTCGGAATGTCTGTATTTCTATCTAAAATGCTGACAGACAAAGCTGTGCATTAGATGAGTTATTCCTTGTTGCGGTCATAATTATTAATAGTTCCTTACTGTATCTGCAGAGCTATTCCCTCAGCATCCAGCAGGTCTGGATTGCCAGTCATTAATGAGGTAATCGTTTTCAATGCAGACCTCATTATTACATTATTATGGTGACAACATTTCATCAGCTTTATTAACGTTTTGTAAGCTCCCTTTTTGCCTGCACACACCCTGCGGGCAATATCTTTATCTAATTCTTTTCTTAATTTCTCTAAGTTTTGATGAACATTTTCATATCTTTTATCCGCTATGGCAATGTTCAGATGGTTTAAATAGCCTGATATTAACTCATCGTCGTTGCTGATGATTAAATCTTTAATGATGTTGCTCAAGTCTACACCCTACAAAAATAGAGTCGATAAAAACAACCATGGCACTGGGGATCCTTATATAATACGATCTAGATTATTCAAACACTGACATTCCAACTGCAACTCCAAATGTATAATTACCATGCGATGACACCATTCCTTATCAGCACTAAATTATTATCACAAAAATAAATTCATTTACTACTGCACAATGTAAAATAAGCAATAACTTTGTGACAGAAAAACGTAAGATGACCTGAAAGCGTGTGCTTTGAGTGTAGCGAATAGCAAAAGTACGTGCATATTGTTGACAGATGATTCATAACTTGTCAAAGTGGAATTTGCTGAATGTCAGTGTATCATGTAAAGCGAAGGTCACTAATGATGTTTCAACTAGTAAACTGTGTAACTCGAGGTGTTAATAATATGACGGGAGGCATTAATTTTCATTGATGTTTCGTTGAAAAAAACAGTGGTAAACAAATTGAAACACTTACCTGGGCCTCGAATTGTTTTACTGCATCCTCGATAGCTTCTTTGGGCGACATGGAAAACTGTTCGATATTCTCGTTAACGACTTCATCGTAGGTTTCCTGGCTGATTACGAGAACCATGATAACGTTGTTTCTTTGTTCACCGTGTCCTGAATCTCTATATTAGGAAATGAATGCTGTCCCGCAAGATCACGATACGCCTCGTCCACGTGAGAACAAAAAGACAAATGTCAACCCGATCGTGTATTATGAGACACCTACCGAACACTTTCAGAATCCTACTGGGGACAAATATAGGGGCCCCAATCATATCCATTCACAAAACTGTACGCGTAAGTTTTCCATCTCGATGAAGCGTAAACAGTGGTCGATCGCAGCGCCCTCAGCTGCTTGGCCTGGCCTAACCGTGTTTGCTCGTTCTGCGACCAAAAGAAACAATTCTTTGTCATTTATCCTTTAATCTTTCCAAGTTTTTTTGTCGATTCGCCGGAACCCGAACCTGGAAAGCTCGATGACCCGATGTGCCGAACCGCGAAGGTAGTGTTTTCCATTTTGAATCGGCCCTATGAAACGCGTATTGTCAAGTCCGTTCCTCGCATCCCCACCGATATCGCTTCCCGACGAGTTTCTTCATCGCAAAATGAACCGAATTTCTCGCGATTCTCCTCGGATTTTGTGTTCTCGGTTGTACGTTAGTTGCCGGACAACGTTCGTTAGGAAAGTGGTCATTTAGTTTTACATTAGTGCTCTAATTATTTACCGGACACGCGTGTTTTTAAAGTACGCTTTGCTGTTCGTTGTCGAAGGCGTGCGCTCCACTATTTTGTGTGTATGTACATATATACATAGAACCGCCATGTGATCGACAGGAACTGTCGCGATCCTCGTAAGTGCAATTTTATTGGGGCACGGGATAAAGGTTTGATTTGAATCGCGACACAATGGCGACAGAAATCAGCCGCGGGTACATAATACGTAAGCTGCTCGCGTCACCGTCTTCGGTGTGTGCACCGTCCCCCGTCTTCGTGTGCGTTTTTCTTTATCAGTATTATCATAAAACATCGTACTGTGAACTGTCTGTGTTTTCTAACTGTACACTATACCTCGTACGATTCGTGATTCACAAGACAGTTGGTGCGGTTAGTTCGGGATGGCTGTGCGGTTTACGGGGGTTAGGGTATTGCGAAGAGCTGAATAAGTAAGCTCTTTTTATCTCGAAATTACAAATTGATAATCGCGCGATGAATGTGAGGTTCTGTAGTTTTAGTGTCATAAAAAAAGTAAAATCGTCTACGATTTTATCATTTACACAATTTTTGTGTTACAGGAATTAAAGTAGTCTCCAAGAAGGTGGTAGTGGATATGAAACGATATGAAATAAATATCCGATCGAGGGAAGAGGTACACTTGAGTGGATCCACAAGGAAGAAATACAAAAGAGAATGATAAAGATATAATGCATCACGTTGTCGTGCATTACTAGTTATCATTGTGTTCATATCAAGTTACTTTGAATGATTTTACATGTTCGGAGAAGCTGACACCTGAAAGATCATCATAGTTCATCAGTGCATATATCGCTTTACATACGTATATATATATAAATAAATATATATATATATATAATAAATACAAATATATATATTTACTGAGCAAGATTTTTAAATATAATTCTATGTATACAAGTGAATAGCCTTAAAGAAAAGTTACTGTAAGTTTTTGATAATTGAGGTGACCTATGACATATAACTACGAGGAGAAATCAAATTTGTTCCAAGAGAGGAAATAGTGACTGCATAGTTTTCTCTACATTTGGTAAAGACCAGCTTTTGTAAACGATGCTCAAACAGTTGCCAATGCTTTTAAGCACTGTACACAGAGTATCCGACGTGAATCTGTTCTGACAGAATCGGTGGCATTAAAGAAGCAGAACGCAAATATTTTGAGCCCACAAAGATAATGCACAACGGTCAGGAGAGATTATGTTCTGTGATTCCAGCATTGTGCAAAGCTATCGGTGTTTGTATACCATGTACGACTGACAAATAAGTTAACAGTAATATATTTTTTCACCGAGAAAGTAATATGTTGATGTAACTATTTCTTCAACGACTTTGGATTACACTCCAGTTTGGGGAGAAAGGATATATTGGTGCTGGTAGTTGCGTGAACAGCGGTAGAACCGAAAGGAAAACTTTGTACCGGTAAGTACTTACGCGATCGATTAAAATTTTAAATTTATAAAACAAACAGGTTCTACAGCGATCAACTTTTTTTTACAGATATTAAAGGTACATTAGAGGAAGTCCTAATGCTGAAAGGAAACTTATCATCGTACTTAGACCCTCATAATGAAGAAGAGTCGTCTTATGTAACCCTCAGCAATGGACCATACGGTATTTAACGATAATTGATTATTATTCAGCTGTAACTGCGAAATACTGACCCGTACAATTTATTTTTGCAGTATATGTAGCCGATTCAGCCAACACGGAACCCAAGAGTGATCATGACCTTGTAGATGTCTATTTTTTAACCCCTATTCTTTGTAAACACTGTAAGTACCTAATCTTAATATTAAGTATTAATGTTTTTACGGTACTGTGCGAAGTTCACGATCTTTCATTGCTTTTGTTTTTTCTATTTCGTTTCAGGTGAAGATTATGTTTGGGGCACTGGGAAAGTGGGGGTCAAATGCAAACGTGAGTTTTTCTTTCAACGATTATTAGTAGTTGTATATCTTAAATATATCTGCCCGATTATCGTTCGTGTCACACATAGATCCATGATATCTCGTAATAATTCATGCGATTATACCGTCTTCCAAGGAAAATGAAGTCACAAAACAAGGCTTTAACGAGTGTTTACGTTTTCATAATGTGACCCATTGTCCGCTCAATGGAACGCATTCATTTGTTACGCATATACCGAATGCAAAAATCTAACCGTTGGAAAGCGGTTTTTGTCGGCATCTTAAATGGCGATGCATAAATCCATTTATATTTTAATTATCGACTTTTCTAGTCATAATTTTAAATGCATTTTTTTTCGAGATCCATTGATCCCTTTATTAAACCCGAACTAAAAGTCAGCCGGAATGTTAAATGGCGCTGTCCGAGCCGATTCACTTTTAAACATTTGAATTTCAAATATAATCGAGATATCGATTAATTTGAATACCTCGAGTCAGAAGTCGTTTACCGATAGGGTGAAAATCACGATGGAACCGCCATCTCGGTGTGGAAATACGAAATTCTGATAACAGGGTGCCTCGTGGTTCGTTCGATTACCATCGAGGGCGACACCGTAGCATAGTAACACATGCAGTCGCGGTGATTTCAAGTAGCGTACTATCGTGTCCCCCTTCACCTTACCTCGCGTTCGTTTCCAGCTCAGCCGGCAGTTTCTTTTCTGAAACTTCACAACCCTCTCCTGTCCCTCTTGCTCCCCACCATCGAGCCTTGCCATCGTACGACCCAGGAGCGTACGCAGTCCCCTCGAACCCGCGGCAAATTTTATTCAATTTCTATCCGAGCGTTCATCCAGGCCCGATCGAGCGGTTTTCACTCGACTCGATCGATTTTCTTTTCACCCCCCGTGTCACTTATGCTGCCTTTTTTGTATCCGTCCTGTGTACCCGAGCCCCGTTGTCGGACTAGCAGAGACTTTAAATAATTTATAAACAGTCCCTTCCCGTATTATTTTCCTCACAGCTATCGCAATTAGGATATCTTTGTCTTTAATCATTTTCATAGTAGTTAAGGAAAATTCATATTTACGTTTACACTTGCTCGAATACTCGTTAAAGAAGAAATTGATTTCGGTTTCAAAGAAATGAATAATATTTAGTAGATCCCTTTTGAAATTTTTACGGAGTCTGGCTCGTTGTTATACGCGGCGAGGTCGACGTCCTCCGCGTCAATTTTGCACGAATCTTGGGTCGTTTTAGCGAGATAGGTACCCTGGGAATTTTGAAGGTCGTTCCAGACCGTTTTCGAGACTTCGCGTGTTCGAACGAGGTTTTTTTAGAACAAAAATCACCACCGAGATCCTTTCGATCTTCCATACTTTTTCTGCCGGCTTCACGTATCGTTCGAGTCTTTTCAACCCCTATCGTACCATGGATGTATCGACAAGAAGATTCATTCCAACATTCTGATTTCAATGAAGCCGTGGGATTGTAGAACACGTCCGAGAGATATTTTCCAGCGGAAATTTATTCCGAGGGGTTGAAGTCAATCCTTAAAGTTGACAGCACACTCCGCGGCGACTGCCACGCCACGGGGAGCAGCTATTGAAAAAAAGAACAACGCTCGCGTAGTAACCGATCCTATAATTAACATTTCGTACAAAAAACAAATCCGCGTACAATTCGCATTCAACCGTTAAGCTATTCGAATCCTCGATTTTTCCACGATCGATCTTGGATCGAGGGATTAATTCGCAACCCCTTTAATCTCAACCGGACTAAATCGGGTTGCAATCAGTATTCAAAAGACGGCCGTCCGTTCCGGTGTTCAGAGCGCACCTGACGGGCCGCGACAAGTTTCCACAATTGAACGTTCCATGATAATTTGTGGACCGTGAGCTTGTATGGCCGGATATAGACACGGCTCGTCTAAATACGTGGAAGATACAGAATTAGCGAGCAGAGAGAGAGAGGTAGGAACCGTTCTCTGGTATCCACGTGTTGGCCAGATATCGCACACCCGGCAACTGTGCAAACGGAATTACCGTGGAATCTCGATTATCCGAACGGCCGACATCTGAATTCTTTATTACGGCACGTATTCTCTCCCGATAGTTCGCATTCTGTTCCATCGCGTCCGAACGCTTCTCTGCTCGCTGCTAAGCGAGCGTGTTCGCGTTCGTGTGCATTTCATAAGCGACTCTCCTAATAGTTTCGTCGCTACGCAGAAAAGAATGGTACACAGATTTTGTTACGAAGAAGGCAAGCGTGTGTTCGTTTTAGATACGGTAAATTCTCCAGAAATTGTCCCTCTGCTGTTAAACAAAACTGGACAATTTGGGAAGCGGATATACGATTATTCGAGCCTCGCGACTCATTTTTATAATTCTTGACAATCGGCGACTGTAAAAACTAGTATCTCCTTTTCTCAAGTTTTTGTTCACAAGCTGACGGACAATTGGAGAGAATTTACTGTATACCAAAATTTCTAACATTTCTAAAGAGAGATCGTCTTTTGCCGTAGAATGTAGATACATTTTTTTGCAGAAAAATAAAAAGTTAACAGATTGATTTATATTAACAGAAATGATTACGTTCGTTCAATTTGCAATCAATTGATACTTAAATAGTTGTGTAAAGATCTAACATAATCTAATGTAACC